AGAGTAGCCTATGTGTGATCATCACATAATAAACTCAGCATATAAAAACACACAGTAAACAAACTGGAATCAATACTTTAAACTTCAAAACATCACTAATAACAAACGAGTTCCGGGTACTCTTTCAACCCAACTCTAAGGAAATTAGCTCATCAACACAGGTTGATGAGCTAACATACAACAAAGGTTCATAAAACAGCAAACTACAACCTACAACTAACAAAAATTAAAATGCAAGAACTATCAACAGAAAATAGCCCTGAAGCAGTGCTTACAAAAAATTACAAATAAAACTACTAAAAATAAAATAAAAGAACAGTAAAATAAAAAAAATATCCAAGAGCAAAATAAACTCAGCGAAGAAGAAGAGAAGAGAAGAGAAAAGAGTCCTACAAATGCCTTTATCTCCTTCTTTATAGCTGATCCCAAATCACTTCCTCCAACCGTACGTATGCTCCTCGCTCCACTCGATCGTAGGTGTCCCTTGCACGATTAGCAACGCACCACAAAAGCAGCTCCAGCCACCACTACTAACAACCTCCAACTCATCAACTTGTTTGGATTTTTCTGTGTCGCACAAAAATCGGGTAGGGTTTGTGTTGTGGGTGGTTCGATTCAAGGAAAGAACCGTGATGGGGTTAGGGTTCTGTGTCTTCGACCGAATTCGAAGGACGGTCTAGATCGGTGAAGGGATTTGGAAGGAGCGGTTGAGATGAGGGTCTAGATGGAGGTGGGTTTGCTTGAGCGGTTTTGCTGTGCTAGGGTTTTCTTTTTCCTTAGTTCACTTTCCACGCTACTGACTCGATTCTTGCATCCCATTCCTTTTTCTTCTTTTCTTTCTTTTCTGACTTGGGCTTCTCTCACTTTGCTTCCTTCTTTCTTCAAGTTTGGCTTTTAATCAGCTTTGTTTCTTCTGGACCATTCTTCCTTTGTTAGTTTCTCTTCTTTTGTTTCTTTACTGACTTGTAAGGTAAAGCCTCAGCCCAAGATGCCTTTGTTTCTTGTCTTTTTCATTCTTTTTTTCTTTGCATGGATAAAATGAGTAGTTGGGCCTGCAATATACAAAAACAGCCCATTAGCACTTAAAATCAGAATATTTCATTTTTATGTAATGTTTGGGGTTTATATTAACAAAAGATATCCTTTTCATTCCCATTTTAACATCAAACCACATGTTCTAAGTCACAAATCATGGACTTATCATATATCAACAACATTATTTTTAATTTTTTTAAAATGAAATAAATCAACCAATAACAAGTAACAACTGAACCAATTTCACCAATCAAAACTGACTTTCATAAAAAAATAAAATAAAAGGACGCCCCTAGCAAGGTCTGTAGCTTTATCGGGAGAAAAACCAAATCAGATAATAATTCTCACCAAGAAGAGTATGCACATAGTCAGAATCCTGGGAAACATCAAACAAAGGACCAGCTCCAAGGGCATAAGATAATGAGTCATTAAGTTCACCCAAGTAATAAAAGATCTGAATATCAACGAGTGCAACAAAATTAGATCATAAAAGACAAACCATGAGACCAACTTCAGTATCTACGAATAACAAATTATGGGAGTGAGAAAACATATCTCCCCTGGTGATGGCTATAGAAGCTGAGTTAAAAATCAAAAGGGGTGAAAGCCAATCTTTATTTCTTAAGTCTCAAAATATAATGAGAAACAAACCATGACAACCGATCTACTTGAAGAAAATGATTTCATTAAGCAAAAAATGGCATAACAAGAATTTTTCAATAGAAGATGCTAGTTCAAATAATTAGCAGAACAATAATACCTATGATACAAGAAGTGCAGCAAGTTGCCTTTGATGTTGATATGAAAATTTAATCAAATAAACCGTTAGTTAGTTAGTTATATATTTGGAAATCTATGTTTTTTGAAAATTATTAAGGAAATTGTCTTTACTGATATCAAATCAGAAAAGATATGAAAATAACGGTGTTAGTTAATCACTTATTTGGACAGCTATTTATTTGAAAGTTAATTATCTTTACCGATATTAAATCTTTAAATAGCTGAAAGTTAATTATCTTCACCGATATTAAATCTTTAAAGATACAAAAAAATTTAAAAGAAATAAACCGATTTACACATATATTAAAAGATTACCTCGTTATTTAACAAAAAAAAAAGAAAAGATTACCTCCAATCTCGGAAGATTCTAATTCTGATCACTATAAATTGAACAGAAGCCCATCACTCACTTGACCGTGTTACATAAACCTTAAACCAACCATCTTTTGCTTGCTCTGTTCCAAACCCACCCCCGAAACAGAAACCTTGTACGTACGATTCCATTCTTCAACTTGTGCTTTGCCACCATGACTCAGAGGGACAACAAAACTATGTGGGAATTGGTGGGGAAGATTACAGATTGGGAGACGCGTCAAAAGATGTCTTTCAAACCCTTTAGGCCTCACTTTTGTATACCTGAAGCTCTTCCGGCTACACCATATGCTTCTTCTTCTTCTTCTCAATCTACCACTCCTTCTTCTTTCTTTCTGGATCATGACGGAGCTCCTCGATTCCCTCTCAGTTGGAACCAACATCATTATAGTACACCTGCTAAAGCATTTTTAACTAACTCAAAGAATTTGAGTACTGACGAACTTGAAACTTTTACTTGGTTTCAAAAGCTGACTTCCGAGTTAGCAAAAGAAAATATTTCTATCATTCCTCGGTCTATTTTAACAAATAAAGATTCTCCTGCGTGGATTTGCAAGAAATTAAGTAAGTGACTAACCTCTTGTTGTTATATTATCCTATGTACTTGACTTTTAGCTTTGCACTCGTGTATTGTTTTTAGATAAGACCATCATGGATCCCTCGTTTTTTGCTCGTCAAAAACAAAAGGCTGCTCACCAAGGAGACTCAACTGTATCTGGGGAGAAGATTCACTCCTCGACTTCTGGTGAAAAAGAAGGTTCTCCTACTCCTTCTTCCATTCCGGCTACCTATGCTACTGGTTCCATTCCAAATGAGACTGTGATTTTGGATATGGACCCGCCTGTTGATTATGGAGAACCTCAACCCCGAAAGCGAGTTCGGATTAATGAACCCAGGTCTGAATCACCTACGGAAAAGTCTTTAACTCCTTCGTCTTCTGTTATTTCCACTCCTTTCTCGGATCGTCCATTCATGAAAAAATTACAGCCTTGCTTCACTCCCGGGCTCCGCAAATGGGACAAGTTTTCCTTGGAGCAATTAATTTTCAAGTTTACAGATATCCGAGATAATTCTCTCCGTGAAGCCCCTTACTATGAAATGGCGTTGTTGGCATTGGCAGAACGTCAGCAAATGCTATCGGAACTTAAAGAGTTACAACTCTTGAAAAACAATTTTAAGACTGAACATGCTCGCCTGACTCAAAGGGCCGAAGTCGCCGAGTTTTTCGCGTAGGGGTTTCAACTTAAGCTTAAAGAGTCTAAAAAACTGGCTAAGAAAGCCAATGATGAGCTTACTACTTTGAAACAGGAAAATGACCAGCTGACTGAAGGTCATAAAGTTTTGAAAAAGAACTTTGAGGATTCATACTTCCGGGTAGCCGAGTTGGAACTGGAAGTAGAAACTCTGAAGAAGCAAGTCAGCTCGCTACAACAAGCTACCGAGGACATGAACTCTAAATATGTTGCTTTTGGTCATCAAATTCGTGGTTGGGTTGTCGACCAAGTGAAGTTCTTTCACCCGGATGTGGCCCTTAGTAACTTGGATAAAATCGACACCTTCAACTTTGTTGATAATGGCCGACTATGCACTAATAATGAGAAATGATCTATTACCGTGCTCGCCACCTGTCCTGCCGAGTTCGTGGGTGTGACTTCAAATTCTGATAAGACTACCTCGTAGGACACCCCGAAAGATGCTTGAAGGAGTGGGATGCCACTTTTATTTTGTACTTATTTTAGTTTTTTGCTTAAATGACTTTTGGTGCTGTAATGACTATGTCTGCTGAATCTTTGAATATGTTATTTTACTACTTCTTCAATTACTTGGTATATTTCTATCTTTTTACTTTGATCCGACTACTTTAAGAGCTCGCTATTCTATCAATGCAACTTGGTAAAATTTTGTTTTTGCTATATTTCAATAACAACTTATCTCTTTCAAAACTCTTCTCGATTAATGTTTTAGAATGATTACTCTGAAACTTTTGGCCCTGCTTTCGAGTAGGAAATGAGCAGGTGCCCATGAGGCCATGTAAGGCGGCCTGGGACTTTTCCGAGTAGGAAATGATCAGGTGCCCATGAGGACATGGAAGGCGGCATGGGACTTTTGGCCCTGATTCCGAGTAGGAAATGATCAGGTGCCCACGAGGCCAAGTAAGGCGGTATGGGGCTTTTGGACCTGCTTCCGAGTAGGAAATGAGCAGGTGCCCATGAGGCCATGAAAGGAGGAATGGGACTTTTGGCCCTGATTCCGAGTAGGAAATGATCAGGTGCCCATGAGGCCATGGAAGGCGGCATGAGACTTTTGGCCCTGATTCTGAGTAGGAAATGATCAGGTGCCCATGAGGCCATGGAAGGTGGCATGGGACTTTTGGCCCTGATTCTGAGTAGGAAATGATCAGGTGCCCATGAGGCCATGGAAGGCGGCATAGGACTTTTGGCCTTGCTTCCGAGTAGTAAATGAGCAGGTGCCTATGAGGCCATGGATGGCGGCATGGGACTTTTGGTTTGTTTGACATATACATTTATGAGAATCTTGCTTTATTGGATTCAAAAGTTAAACTACCCAATATCCATCATCTACTGAACATAATATAAACTCTTATACGAAACTTAAATCTTAATTTTCCTAACTTAAACAAAGCTTTAATAATTAACCTAAAATATTACCTACTATACCAACGACTACACATGCTCACTGGTTTCCTTCTTCTGATCATTGGTCTGAATTCTTCAACTGAAATACCTTTTGAGCTTGCCCGCGTTCCAATATCGTGGGATAGCTTTCCCATCCAAATGCTCTATTTGATAAGCTCATGTATTAGTGGCTTTTGTTACTCGGTATGGACCTTCCCAATTGGCTGCTAACTTCCCATCTCTTGCATTCTTATTTCCCACATCTGCCCGCCTGAGCACCAAATCTCCTACTTGAAATGTTCGCTTGACCACTGTTCTGTTGTATCTTGTCGCTGCTCGCTGCTTGGATGCCATTTCAACGATTGCTATTTTGTCTCTTTCTTCCTCCAGCAACTGCATATCAATCTTCATCAACTCACTATTCTCTTTCTCTTTATCTTCTGAACTCAACTTCCTTCTCCATGATGGTTCTCTGACTTCTACAGGTAACATTGTGTCAAACCCGTAAGTCATTTTAAACGGTGTTTCTTGAATACTAAACTGCACAGAAGTTCTATATCCCCATAAAACATTGTCTAGCTCTTCTACCCAACTTCCTTTGCACGCTTCTACTCTTCTTTTTAACCCGTTTGTCAGAATTTTGTTTGCCAAATCCACTTGCCCGTTTGTTTGTGGATGTTCAACTGCTGCAAACTGGTGCTTTATCCCCAAGTCGGCTATTACCTGCCGAAATTTTCTATCAATGAACTGTGTCCCATTATCAGTTATGATTATAGCCGGAATACCAAACCTGCAGATTATTTTCCTAATGAAAAACTTCTGGACTTTCCGAGCAGTTTTGGTGGTGACGGGTTCTGCCTCTATCCACTTGGTGAAGTAATCTGCTGCCACTATCAGATATTTCACTCCTCCGGCTGCTCTAGGAAACGGACCTAGCAGGTCCATTCCTCATTTAAAAAATGGCCATGGAGATGAAATTGTGAACAACTCTTCGGGAGGAGCTTGATATACATTAGAAAACTTCTGACACTGTTCACATCTGCGTACATGTTTTTTAGCATTTTCTCCCATTGTTGGCCAAAAATATCCTGCTTGTATAGCTTTCTAGCTAACGACTTCCCTCCTAGATGATGTCCATTGATCCCCTCGTGTATTTCTTCTAGCACGTATTCCGTGTTCGGTGGAGCTATGCATTTCAACAAAGGAGAATTTATCCCTCTTCTATACAACTGTCCTTCTATCCTGACAAACCAAGCCGCTCTTCTCCTAAGCCGACTTGCTTCCATTTTTTCTCCTGGCTCCTTTCCCTTTTCCAAATACTCTATAATTGGGCTTCTCCAATCCACCTCTTCGACCATCCACACCATACTCGGAGCTCGAATATTTTGCTGTATAATGGTCCTCAAATTTCCTGAGGCTTTAGTGCTCGCCAGCTTTGACAACACATCTTCTCTAACATTATCGTTTCTCCGAATGTGCTCTACTCGGATCTCCTTCAATTCTTTCATCAACTCCTGTACCCTTGCCAAATATTTAATCATAATCTCCCCTCGAGCTTGGTAAACTCCGCTGATTTGCGAAGTTGCTAATTGGAAATCGCTATACACCTCTAGGAGCTCAGCTCCGAGCTCCTTTGCCAAAACCAAACCAGTAACCATTGCTTCATACTCTGCTTGATTATTAGTCGTTGGAAACTCCAATGCCAGCGAATGTTCTACGACCGCTCCTTCCGGGTTCTCTATTATAACCCCTACCCCACTGCCTCTTTTGTTGGACGACCCGTCCACAAACAACTTCCACCAACCATTTTCTTGCTTCCCTTCGGGTTGTGTCATCTCTACCACGAAATCGGCAAAAGCTTGTGCTTTGATCGTGTTGCGCGCTTCAAAATGAATGCCAAATTCAGATAACTCCACTGCCCATGCTACCATCCGACCTGCGAGGTCCGGCTTATGCAACATTTGCCTTATTGGCTGATTAGTCCGAACAACCACTTGATGACATTGGAAATACTGATGAAGCCTCCTTGCTGTAATCAACAGTGTAAATGCAATTTTCTCTACATGCTGATATCTTGTTTCTGCTCCTTGTAACACCTTGCTTATAAAGTATACCGGTTGCTGTTTCCCATCTTTCCCTTCTCGGACGAGAACTGAACTAACAGCCTCCTGTGAAACAGATAAATATAAGTATAACACTTCACCTGGTTCCGGCTTGCCTAGGATTGGCGGCGAAGCCAACATCTCTTTGAAGCGCTGAAATGTTGTCTCACATTCCTCCGTCCATGCAAAATTACTTCCCTTCTTTAGAAGTTGAAATAGTGGCAAAGACACCTGTGCAGACTTGGCCAAAAATCGGGACAAAGCTGTTACTCGCCCGTTCAACTTTTGGGCTTCTTTAATATTCTCTGGGCTTTTCATTTCCATCACTGCTCTACACTTGTCCGTGTTAGCTTTAATTCCCCTTTCTGTTAACAGGAAACCCAAAAAATTTCCGGCTGGAACCCCGAAAGTGCACTTACTTGGGTTTAAGCGCATATTATGCTTCCCGACCTGCTCGAACACCTCCTGCAAGTCTTGTAAATGTGTCTTACCGTCCCCCGACTTCACAATCATATCATTCATGTATACTTCCAACATTCTACCCATTTGTGCCTTAAACACTTTGTTCATCATCCTCATGTACGTTGCTCCTGCATTCTTTAATCCAAATGGCATGACATTATAACAATACACTGCATTATCAGTTATGAACGCTGTTTTTTCTTGATCTTCCTTCCATAACGGTATCTAATTATACCCGGAATATGCATCCATAAATGACAACACTTTGTACCCAGAGGCTCTGTCTACTAAATGATCAATACTTGGTAAAGGAAATGGGTCTTTAGGACAAACTTTATTGAAGTCTGTATAATCTGTACACATTCTCCATTTCCCATCTGGCTTCCTTATCAGCACTGGGTTGGCTAGCCACGTAGCATATTCTATTTCTCTAATAAACCCTGCTTCCAAAAGCTCTTGTGTCTTTTCTTCAATGGCCCTCCTCCTTTCTAAACAAAATCTCCGTTTCTTCTGCGCTACCGGCTTTACTCCTGGGGTCATTGCCAAGCGATGACAAGACAATGCCGGATCCATACCGGGCATATCTGAAGGTTTCCATGCAAACAAATCAGCATTCTTTTTCAACAAATCCTTCAAACTCTCTGCCACCTCAGGCTCCAACTCGAACCCCATCTTAGTACACTGTTTTGGAGATATCCCTAATTGAACTTCTTCCATTGCACCGGCGGGTTCCGGCCTATCCGCCTTGTCCTCCACCCGAGGATCCATCCCCACCACCATTACCTCTTTTTCTTTCTTTCCTTCTTCTTCTCTTTGTACATTTCCTTCTTTGGCTTGTTGTGGTGGCTCCACAACATTTTTCTCCTTACCTGCTTATGGAACTCGTAGACTCATATTATAACAACTCCGAGCAACCACTTGGTCCGCCTTTATCGTAGCTACTGACTCATCTTTGGCTACAAGTTTCATAGCCAACTGATCAATCGACAAGAAGATTATAAACTTCTTCATAAATGGCCGCCCCAAGATAACATTGTACGCCGAGCTCAAATATATTACTGCAAATGTCAAAGTGACCGTTTTGTGCGTGGGCGCCTTGCCTAAAGTCATCCTCAATGGGATATATCCCAATGGCTTAATTTTATCTCTCGTGAAATCTAATAACTCGGCTCCACATGGCTCCAACTGGTCATAATCCAAATCCATTCTTCTAAACGCATCCAAAAATATAATGTCCACCGAGCTCCCCGAGTCTACCAACATTCTATCAACGCGATAAATTGCTAGCAGCCCAGAAATGACTAAAGGATCGTCGTGCTCTGGATCAATTATCTCATCATCCAGGTCATCAAAAACTACTTGTTTGCCTGTCTTCCTTCTTTCTTCCTTAAAACACGGCTTATCTGAAATGGCCATGCACATCTTTAAATGCTTTTTTCGAGCATTACTCGACTATCCTCCTGCTCGCCCTCCGGCTATAGTACATACATGACCCAACTGGACCGGATTGAGAGATGTTTGCTTTTGTTGTGGAATCTTGCCTGCCTCTTGTCCTTTTCTTCCTGGTGGGCTCTGACTACGATATGGTCGTCAGGATTTGTCCTCATTGCTACCATCTACATCTCTTCTCACGTAATTCTGTAAATTTCCTTCTTTGAGCAACCGTTCAATGACGTTCTGTAAATTAAAACAGTCGTTTGTATAATTCCCGTACCCACGATGGAATTCACACCATCTGGTTTTGTCTAGAAACTTTGACTGAATGGGTGGCGGCCTTGGGACATTTCTCATTTTTGTCGACATTACTTCTTTAAATATATGGGCTCTAGACGTGTTCAAAGGTGTGAACTCCCTCCGATATGGCTCTCTGAATCTTTCTCCAACTAGACGAGGTTGTCGCTCTTCAAACTGCCCTCTTCCTGCTGTCTCTCCGGCCTCCGACTTTGACTTGCTTCGAGAAAACCTTGCTCAATTTGCTTTTGAGAAGATTTAAATTCTTCCAAAGCAATATACTTTTTGATTCTTTCTAGAAAATCTTACTTTCTAGCAGGAGACTTTTTGGCTAACGAGTTGGCAATTCCTCCAGGATGTAATCCAGTAGTGAACAACAACAGATACGTCTGATTTTCTAAACCCTAAACTTGTCTTTCTTCTGCCTGAAAACGTTCATAATAATCTCGTAACTTTTCTCTGGGCTTTTGTCTTACTCCGCACAAATTATGCGTTGTTTTAGGCTAGGGTCCACAATGAGCAAACTGTTGCACGAACCGTTGTGATAAGTCCACCCAACTTTCGATGGAGTTATCTGGTAAAGCCGTAAACCACTCCAAAGCCTGTTTTCTCAAAAACACAGGAAATGTTCGACACAACAATGAATCTGATTCGCCACACAAGGACATTGCTGCCCGGAACACTGTCACGAACTCCTTTGGGTCTGAACTTCCATCATACGTCTTCATGTCACTTGGTTGCTTAAACCAAACCGGGATTGGTTCTGCTATAAGCCTCCCCAACAAAGGAGTTCCTGATGGTCCCTGATTAATAGGGGGCGCCGGAATCCCCTGTTGAGCTCCTCCGAGTTGTCTTATATCTATATATATATATATATATATATATATATTCCAAACGGGTACATCCTGCTACATCCTGCTCCCTATTGGCCATTTGTCTATTGCCATAATGAGGACCCAAGCCTTTTGCCTGCCCTGGTCCGTAATGCTGATAATCCCAATTCGCTTGTCGCCTTCCATCTCCTTGACTTTGATATCTACCCCAGTAATGATACTTGGTATCGTCTCGTGGAACTTCACCTCTGCGATTGCCATAACTTATTCCTCCTTCTGGCCTCCACCTTTGATAAGTTTCTTCATATCGACCTCTGTTTACCTCTCGTTCATCTCGCCGAGTATAATCTTGACGGGCTCCAAAATACTGTTCTTCCTCCCATATCACCTCTTCTTCCACCTGTTCATCTTCTCTATTTTGATATTGCCTAGCCTGGCCCGTTCTCCGGGCATAATCCTCAGGTATCCTTTCTCATATCCGCGGATTTGTTCCTCGTCCTGCGCCTTCATAGCCTCCCCTTTCTGGAGAACCCCTTGACTCTTGACAAAGTTGTCATCTCCTCCCTTCATTTCTTCTATTTCCCCTCACCGTTGGAGGTGATAAAGGAATATAGCTAGGAAGAGGAGACAAAGAATCTCCTCCTCTGAAGGGTGATTGCTGCTCATTCTCTACAGGATGCCTTTCCTCTGCTCCACGTCTCATTTGCCCTCCTTATAGATGTTGCCTATTCCTGATATCCTCCACTAACTGAATCAAAGCTTCTCCAATGGTGTCCAGTGACCGACTCCTTCCACTAGATCGGAAAGAATCTTCCTCTCCAAGGTATCCTTCGTCGTCTTCCGCTCCCTCGTCATGGTAATTGCTTACCATGACTCAAGAAAATGCGTAGGAATCTTTTTACCTATTCCCACAGACGGCACCAAATGTTCTGTATGAACATTAGTATGATTATTGTATGGTTCTTGTTCCTCTTTCGTTAGTTATGGTCTTTGGTATATATAACCCTTCCATAGGTGGTTATTGTGAATGTGGGTAGTTATAGAAACCCATCATGTAATCCTGGTAGGGCCCACTTTGGGTTATAGTATTTTGGCCGGCTTCCCTTCCGGGGTAAAACCCCATCCGGGTTCTATCAACTCTTCTCCTTGACTATTGATACCCGGATGTATAAACCCAGAACAACTTCTTTCGCGCGTTGCACCACAGTTTTATGATGATGAAGAATTGGCTCTGGTTAAGAGTTGTTTCCAAGAAGAGGATGAAGAGTTGCAACAGCAACAACAACAACTGCAACAAGGAGAGGCGTCAAAGACAAAGCCGCCAGAAAAAGAAAAAGAAAAAGAGAAAGAGAAATAAAAGAAAAGAAGGCGCGAAATGCTTGACGATGAGGAATGGCGCCCCACTCTCTCGTTGCTTCCCTAACTTCAACATCATTTACTTTCCCTCATGGCTGCCCTAAAATCAATTTCCCCCCTTTTACTTTCCGTGATTAATTAATAGTTTAGGGGTTTTTCATTTGTCATGTAGTACTAGGGGTGTTCGCGGTCTGGATTGAATCGGTTTTGGAAGCAAAAATTATCCGATCCAATCTCTTCGGTTTCATCCATTCGGTTTGAATTTTTTTTCAAATCCGATCTGATCCAATCCAATATTTTTCGGTTTGGATTGGATCGATTTTCGGTTTTTTGAAAATTCTGATTTTTTTTTTAAATTCTGAAATTTATTTCATAGTTATTGTTCTTGTATATATTGGCTTTGTAAACTTTTTTTTAAAAAATACAAAAGAATCAGTAAACAATAATATAAGTTTATTTTTATGGGCAATGAGATATGAAGCTCTACACAATTAAAATTTTGTTAATGATCAGTAAACGATAATATAATTTTTTTTTATGGGCAATTGAGAATGAAGCTCTACATAATTGAAATTTTGTTAATGAGATGTGACTAGATTTTTTAGAAATTTTTAGGCTATGATTTGGGAAATGCCCATGTAGTTAGAGAGAAATTAATATATTGGATCGGTCTGGATTGGATCGGTTTTCATCAATCAATCCAAAAACCGATCCAATCCAATTACAATTTGCAGTTTTTTTTCGGTTTTCGATTTTTCGGTTTTCGGTTTATTCGGTTTTCGGTTCGGTTTATGCGGTTTGAATAGGTTTGGATC